CTACTACTATTACTACTACTACTACTACCACTACTACTACTACAAACAATAATAATACTGCTACTTATAGTACTACTACTACTACTACTACTCCTACTACTACTGCAACTACCACTGCTACTACTACTACTGATACTACCACTACTTCTACCACTACTACTACTACTACCACTACTACTACTACTACTACTACTACTACTGCTACTACACTACTACAGCCACTACCACTACTACTACCACTACTACTACTACTGATTCTACCACTACTACTACCACTACTACTGCTAGTACTACTACTAATACTACTACTAATACTGCTATTACCACTACTACTACCACTGCTACTGCTACTATTACTACTATTACTACTATTACTATTTGCGTGCAGCCAGCAGCAACAGCCTGGTTGATCAGGCTCTGATCCACCAGGAGGCCTGGTCACAGACCGGGCCGCGGGGGCGTTGACCCCCGGAACTCTCTCCAGGTAAACTCCATGTAAACTACTACCACTACTACTGCTACTACTGCTGCTCATATACTACTACTACTACTACTACTACTACTACTACTACTACTACTACTACTTAAAACTATACTACTACTACTACTACTACCACTGCTACTACTGCTACTACCACTATTACTACCACTACTACTACTACTACTGTTCCACTACTACTACCACTACTAGTACTACTGCTACTACTACTACTACTTTTACTGCTACTACCACCACTACTACTGCTACTACCACCACAACTACTACTACTACTACCATTGCTACTACTACTACTACTGCTACTACCACTACTACTACTACCACTATTGCTACTAACATACTACTACTACCACTACTGCTACTAACACTACTACTATTACTATGCTACTACCACTGCTGCTACCACTACTATTATTACTACTACAGCTACTACTACTACTGCCACTGCCACTACCACTACTACTACTGCTATACCACTACTATACCCACTATTGCTACTGCTACTTCCACTACTACTACTACTACCACCACTACTACTACTACTGCTACTATCACTATTACTACTGCTACTACTACCACTACTACTACTGCTACTACTATTACCACTACTACTGCTATACTTCTGCTACCACCACCACTACTACTACTACTCCTACTACTACCACTGCTATTACTACTGCTACTACCACCACTATTACTACTTCTGCTACTACTACTACTTCCAATGCTACTACTACTACTGCTACTGCTACTACCACCACTACTACTGCTGCTACTACTACTACTGCTACTGCTACTATACTAGTTCTAGTGCTCTTACTATTACTACTACTTTACTACCACTACTACTACTATGCTACTACCATTACCACTACTGCTACTACCACTACTACTACTGCTACTACCACTACTACTACTACTACTACTACTGCTCCTGCTACTACTACTACTACTACTACTCCTACTGATACTACCTTTACCACTACTGCTACTACCACTACTACTACTGCTACTTCCATTACCACCACTGCTACTACCACTACTACTACTACTAGTACTACTACTACTACTACTGCTACTACACTACTACTACTACTACTACTGCTATTACCACTACTACTATTACTGCTACTGCCACTACTACTACGATGCTACTGCCACTAATACTACTACTACTACCACTACTACTACTACTACTACTACTACCACTACTACTACTACCACTACTACTACTTACTACTACTACTACTACCACTACTACTACTACCCTACTACTACCACTACTACTACCATGCCCACTACTACTACTACTTACTACTACTATTTTACCACTACTACTACTACTACTACTACTACTATACTACACTACTACATACTACTACCTACTACTACTACCACTACTACTACTACCTACTACTACTGCACTACTACCACTACTATTACTACCATACTACTACCACTACTACTACTACCACTACTACTACTGCCACTACTACTACTATTACTACTACTACTACCACTACTACTACTACCACTACTACTACCACTACTACTACTACCACTACTACTACTGCCACTACTACTACTACTACTACTACTACCACTACTACTACTACTACTACTACTACTACCACCACTACTACTACTGCCACTACTGCTACTGTTACTACTACTACTACCACTACTACTACTACTACTACTACTACCACTACTACTACTACCACTACTACTACTGTTACTACTACTACTACCACTACTACTACTACTACTACTACCACTACTACTACAGCCACTACTACTACTATTACTACTACTACTACCACTACTACTACTACTACTACTACTACTACTACCACTACTACTACTACTACTACTACCACTACTACTACTACTACTACTACTGCCACTACTACTACTATTACTACCACTACTACCACTACTACTACTACTACTACTACTACTACTGCCACTACTACTACTATTACTACTACTACTACCACTACTACTACTACTACTACTACCACTACTACTACTACTACTACTACTGCTACTGCCACTACTACTACTACCACTACTACTACTACTACTGCTACTACTACCACTACTACTACTGCCACTACTACTACTATTACTACTACTACTACCACTACTACTACTACTACTACTACTTCCAACGCTACTATAAATATCAAAGTTTTATGTTGTTTATAGAAATGTTCTCAGGATCATTTTAATTAAGTATACCTGGAGTTTACCTGGAGTTTACCTGGAGAGAGTTCCGGGGGTCAACGCCCCCGCGGCCCGGTCTGTGACCAGGCCTCCTGCTGGATCAGCGCCTGATCAACCAGGCTGTTACTGCTGGCTGCACGCAAACCAACGTACGAGCCACAGCCCGGCTGATCAGGAACTGACTTTAGGTGCTTGTCCAGTGCCAGCTTGAAGACTGCCAGGGGTCTGTTGGTAATCCCCCTTATGTGTGCTGGGAGGCAGTTGAACAGTCTCGGGCCCCTGACACTTATTGTATGGTCTCTTAACGTGCTAGTGACACCCCTGCTTTTCATTGGGGGGATGTTGCATCGTCTGCCAAGTCTTTTGCTTTCGTAGTGAGTGATTTTCGTGTGCAAGTTCGGTACTAGTCCCTCTTGGATTTTCCAGGTGTATATAATCATGTATCTCTCCCGCCTGCGTTCTAGGGAATAGAGGTTCAGGAACCTCAAGTGCTTCCAGTAATTGAGGTGTTTTATCTCCGTTATGCGCGCCGTGAAAGTTCTCTGTACATTTTCTAGGTGAGCAATTTCACCTGCCTTGAAAGGTGCTGTCAGTGTGCAGCAATATTCCAGCCTAGATAGAACAAGTGACCTGAAGAGTGTCATCATGGGCTTGGCATCCCTCGTTTTGAAGGTTCTCATTATCCATCCTGTCATTTTTCTAGCAGATGCGATCGATACAATGTTATGGTCCTTGAAGGTGAGATCCTCCGACATGATCACTCCCAGGTCTTTGACGTTGGTGTTTCGCTCTATTTTGTGGCCAGAATTTGTTTTGTACTCTGATGAAGATTTAATTTCCTCGTGTTTACCATATCTGAGTAATTGAAATTTCTCATCGTTGAACTTCATATTGTTTTCTGCAGCCCACTGAAAGATTTGGTTGATGTCCGCCTGGAGCCTTGCAGTGTCTGCAATGGAAAACACTGTCATGCAGATTCGGGTGTCATCTGCAAAGGAAGACACGGTGCTTTGGCTGGCATCCTTGTCTATGTCAGATATGAGGATGAGGAACAAGATGGGAGCGAGTACTGTGCCTTGTGGAACAGAGCTTTTCACCGTGCCTGCCTAGGACTTGACTCTGTTGACTACTACTCACTGTGTTCTGTTAGTGAGGAAATTATAGATCCATCGACCGACTTTTCCTGTTATTCCTTTAGCAACATACAAATGAGATACAATTCCTGAGATCAAGAGCAAGAGCCCCTCACCAGTGTCAAGGAACCTGCCTTGAGGTCTGCTCGCTTGTGGAAATTTTGCTCGCGTATGGAAGCAAAAAATCGGCCCATCGACTGCTCGTATTTGGAAAAACTCGCAAGTGGACACTCTCGCAAGTGGAGGTTCCACTGTATTTCCTTACACCAGTTGTCCATATTTTTGTAATACTGCAAGTCTGAGTTAAAGTTTGTTAAGAACAACCATGGTACAGTACTGTGACTGAAACAACCATGGTACAATACTGTGACTGGAACAACCATGGTACAATACTGTGACTGGAACAACCATTGCACAATACTGTGACTGGAACAACCATGGTACAATACTGTGACTGGAACAACCATGGTACAATACTGTGACTGGAACAAGCATGGTACAATACTGTGATGGAACAAG